CCCACGTGGCCTGCCAAAGGAAGTGTGCTCGTGGGACATGGCAGCCCATATGGACTGCCGGCTAATAATCGCTTGCCAGTACCTAATATCGTCATTTTTGTGTATTTCTGATAGCTATGAATGAAATAGGGACTAATACGTACATAATAAACGGCAGGAGTCTCTGAAAGGTCACGTATGCTTCATTTTAGGAAAGTTTTCCTGAATTGGGTGAAATTTTCATTTGATTAATTTCCCTTTTTCTTTTCTTGTCATAAACATGTGGGATGAAAAGAGTACTATAAAAGAAGAGAAAGCGCTATGAATGGGAACATAAGCGCTTAATTCGATACAAGCGAGTTAGAAATGCTTCAGCATCCTCTGTAGGGAGAGTGAATGAAATGCTCTCTTTTCGTTACCACTATTCGTCGTTTTGATCGAAATCCTACTATTATATGTTAGATAATCTTTACGCATTGGACATTGCAGAAATTATTTTGTGACATTCATGTTTTTGTTCATTTACAAAACAAAATCTGCGGTGTGTGGTGAGGCGGCGGCGCCCACAAAATCGCGTCCGTCCCACGCGACCGAAAAGTGGAAAAGGGGCGCCGTCGTGAATGTGTTAATATCCTACCCCGAAGGTGGTTTCGTGGTACAGCATGATTAGGAGATCCTCTACAGCTAATTTTGACGTGAAAGCCTCTAATCAGTGCATAACGCTACACCGGACGCAATCATGCTGTGTCGCCAACGCTCTTCAGGAAAATATTTCTATGTGGGTTTCCTAAGCTTGGAAATAAGCGCATTTGTTATGCTTATTCGAACAGCCGATTCACTGACGTCGGGACGTCAGGACTTCATCATGGCCTTCATCTTCTCGCTAGGGTTCATCTTGCACCGTTGGAATCTCTTGCTCGTGCAAACCATCGTTACCTGCTCTATCCTGCTTTTCCATCATCTGCACCGCCCTTGGTTGCCCCTCCTTACAACGTCCTTCCATCTCTTCATTTGGGCTTCTCGTGAGCTCTGACCCTTGGAGTCCATTGCTACTCATAGCAATCCTGTAACCATCCTAGCCTGTGTCCATACCAACGCAATCCCTGCCCTCATGAACTCAGCTAGACTGGAGCAGTTTTCAAGACTTCCCTACATTCTTTTTCCATAGGCTGCCCATGCCCTGAGGCTTGCGCCTAGGCCCATTTCAGCGACTCCGTCTTAGCCGTTTGAAGCTACCTCCATGGGACCTGCTTATGGACCACGACTCGCTGTAGAGTTCGTGGCTTCACAACCGTTAGAGCATTTCGCCGTCAAGCGTGCTGGAGCTTCTATAGAAGATACCAGTAACCTCTATTTACATCATCGATGCAACGTTGAGAGATCAGCGATTAAAGGCAAAAGTCGGGCTCAATAAGGGGGTATTATGGCGATTGAAACTGAGTATAGAGATGCGAAGTAGAACGACAGTGGAGAAAAAACTGAGAAAAACCGTCGACAAGGCCGTTAACAAAACCCTCTTTCCCACTAGCAGTGAAGGAGGCTGGCTTGGGGAAAGGCACGTACGCACAAACAAGTTTTCTGAAGATGTCAGTCGTTCTATCGGTTGATACGGCAATCAACCTAGCTGATTTCACACGTTATGCCAGCCACGCACCACTTCCGGAGGTGGGCGGTCGGAGCGCCGCCAGGCGGCGAAAGCGCTTAATACGTGCCCTGGAGCCTTATTACGGCGCCGTTTGGGATTCTGAGCATGGTAACGTCTCTGTGGGTGCGCAGCCTCCTTCACCTGGCCTTCCTTGCCTCTGCTGCTTTCTGCACGTGTCCTACATTTGCAAATAGCTTTTCAAATGCTGTGGCACGAACTAGAGAAATTCATGGTGAGTGTTGTGGGTTTGATTTGGAAAGCCTAAAGTGGGGCCCGTGCGTCGGTGGCGCGTGTCAGAACAAAATTAATTAGTACCGAGAAACAACCAGATTCCTCCTAACACTCTTTCGGGATACAATAAATTCGTACCGATACTACCGAGAAGATGGGGAAAAAGCTCACGTGGTAGACGTTAGCTTTATAGAGCAGCATCAAATCCCGACTCAAACATAAATTTTCGACAGAATAGAATGGTTTTCCTCTGACTCGCTACGTGGGCGTCGATAAATCCCTTCATGTTCCAATGAAAGCTTCTCACGCAGTCATTATGAAATTCGTTTATTGATACATGAACAAATTTGCACAATATCAGAGGTTTTTCGTACAAAACAACTGAAAATATATAGGTGAATAAATAATTTATGTAATATCGGCTGTACAGATAAATAACAAAGATAAAGGCGACTCAAAGAGGTGTACAGAACTCGTTTCTATTATGTACAGTACTAAAACAGCTACATTTCCATAGAACTGAGATCATCGAGAGTTCACTTCTCGTGAGGAGCGGCCATGATGGGGATGGTTCTCTTGTTCTCATGACCCTCGGCTTTCTTCGGCGCCTCCACGGACAAATGGCCCTTGCTGTCCAGCTGGGTACGGATCGCCTCCAGGTCTACGTTTTCGGGCAGCAGCCATTTGCGGGTGAATGATCTGAAACATCCCAAGCATCAGTAAAATAGTGGATGTGGGAAGTTGCCAGAACTCACCTCTGAATGGCGCCCTTCTCAGTTTTGTGCTCCTGCTTTCCTTCGATGGTCAGCTCACGCCCTTCCATGTGGACGTTCAACTCTTCTGGGCGGAACTGCGACACATCCAAAGAGACGGCGAATTTTTTGTCGTCATCAACAATCTGCAATTTAAATGAATCTCGAAACAGCTTACGGCTACCAAAGGCCTGTCAGGAAAAATATCCATACCTGCTGAGTTTCGTTGGCCACGTGAAGCACCGAATGGTCAGCCTCTCGCCAATACGGGAAAATGCTTCTCTCAAACGATCAAAATCCCTCATGGCGTCGTACATCACACGATTCATCAGACGAGGGCATCTTACACACAAATCCATTTTGATCGACTGGAAATAACTGAAAAGTCGCTTTAATAGTTGTTTGTTATGGCAGACGAGCAGTTCAGGGGAAAAGCAGTTGTAGAATGAAAACATACCTTGAAGCAAGGTCACCAGCACCACTCACTGGTTTCGAGAAATCAACCACACAAGTGTGAGTAGTTAGCGGCTCGATGAGCTCCTTATTACCCACGGCTGATCTTCGAGAACTGCTGGAGGCCATTTGTTTTTTGTTGTTTGGTCGGCGCCCCGCTGGTCTGCGCGAGCCCCGCCCACTCGCGTGACTCACCGCCGAAGCGGTTACGAGGAGAGGCGGGGCGAGAAGGTTCTCGAAAGTTTCCCGAAGAATCCCTCCGAATGGTATATAAGCAGGTCCGAGAGCAGTGACTCCAGCGTTCTGAGGTTAATCTTCGAAGCAATCTACAATGGCGATCTGCATTCACCCGTGGGCTGGCGAGACGGCGATCCTCCCTCGTCTCCTCGACGACGTCTTCAGCGAGATCGACGACGCTTTCAACGAGCTCGCCCAGATTGAGCCACCAATCCACTCTGTTGCGCGAAGGAAGGGAAGGAAAGCTCTGTTGCAGGACATTTAGGAAAG